ACCGTAATCTCTGTACACTTTAGACCTGGTAGCGAAAAATGTACAGCTTTTGAGACAGACTATTTCTTACCTCTCAAAACCAAATTTGTAAACAGTAACAAAACCTAATATTTAAATTAGTTTATTTGAGGTAGGTTTTTTTGTTTTGTTTTTGTTGTTGTTCTTGTTGTTGTTGTTGCTTGTTTGTTTATTTGGTTGTTTGTTTTTATGTTGTTGGGTTTTTTTCCTTGTTTGTTTGTGTCTTTATCATCAAACAATTTATCGACTGTCTTTTTCAAAGAAATATCCAATAAGATCATCCACATCATAATTAAGTCTCACGCTCCTCCTGAGTAATTGCATTATCACCCCTTAAAGGCGGCATGCGTTAAAAGATCATCGCTTACGTCCCTTTACGCTGAATGAACAGACGACGCCGGTGCAGCAGCAGCAGGAGGAGTTATTTCCCTTTCCCCCTACTACTACCACCACCACTACTCGTAGGACGTACGTACGACGGCTCCGTCAATCCGTCTGCTGCTGCTCAGAATCGGCTGCTAGCTGCTCAGTGCTCAGAATCGTCTGCTCAGAATCCACGCTCCCGTAGCGGTAACACGCCAGCAAATCCGTATCGAGTAGTTGCAGCAGCAGCAGCGGCCGGCCCAGCCTTCTACTTCTGGTCTCGATCTAGCGTGGCGTCGTCGGGTGACGTTCGGCGCTCTATAGCTAAGTGTAGTGTTGAGAAGAGCGCGCGGCGAGTCCACAGATTCTAAATACGCGCTCGGAGACAGACCGAGCGATCTCGGTTGTCAGGAGTTAGGGAAACAGGGGAGGTGTTTTTTTTCCCCCCACCACTTCCCTTTGTATAAATTGTAGCCTACCTGTGGCTCTTTAGAGCAGAGCGCCTGTTATTTTGAAGTCTACCAGCTAGGCTACACAGGCGTGATATTAGATTCTACGCGTTTGTGTGTATATTTATTATTGTGTTGTGTGTGTGCGCCTGCCGAGAACAATGGACTAACTTTAACAAGGCAGTCGGATCTTTATACTGGATTGAAATTATTCTTCATTCACGATTTGTGTCTTCACTGGATGTGATATTATTATTTCTGCAAAGTGACGGATGTCATGGGAAACAAAGAGCACGTTGCATGACGTAACCCATGTAATTATTCACGCAATTTGTGGATTTATTTTATTTTTCATTTCATTGTTGTTGTTGTTGTTGTTGTTGTTGTTGTTTTCCAGTTTTATGTAAACAACACCAGCTGCCATCGTTCTTCCATATACTTACACTGTAACACACGACGTAAATTTTCTATTTCAGAATCTGTTTGATTTTGCACAAAAAGGACACCGCAAGTCAAACTACTCAACTGTGAAAAACAAAAACATAAACAAAACACAACATTTAAGAAATACAAAACAAGAAAAAAAAACTATTTAAAAAAAACAGCCGACGGTTCATAAGTTCTTGATCTAGTGGTTTCTTTTTTCGTATTATAATGAAAAGTCTGTTATCTGAACAGTTGGAACCGAAAAAAAAATATACACAATTATTATTATTTATTATTATTTCCTTGTAATGCAAAATTATTATTTTTATCTCGACGGACTTGGAATCATTTTGCTCACTTTCTAAACAAACGACCAAAAGTTTTAGGTTCATTTTCAGAGTTACAAGTCAGCCGGGTGGTTCTAACAAAAGTAGTATTATCATGTTTGCGTCATGCGTTGTGAAATTGAGTTCTGGAGGAGAAACGTGTGAGTCTGTATTTGAAATCTTTTACTGTAGATCGTCGCAGATTCTGCCAAGAAATTCTGTCTT